TCTGATTTATTCGTGTACGCACCAGACGGAAAAACAAAAAATATCGTGTATCCACAAGCACTCCAATAAATAAATAGAATTGAAACGACACTTTGAAATGTTTTCCCGATGAAAATGAATAATAATAAAAAGTTTCAATAAAAATGATAAAATGTAAATTGAATTTTATTATAACGAGTTTGCTTGAATTTCGTTTCTTCTGAGATCGCAGCAATGCGCGACGGGTAAGCTAGTTATATATATAATATCTCATGAAAATATTCGACATACATTTCCATTAAATTTGATATGATTTTCGCAAAATCTCGTAGAAAAACATTAATCAAATGGATATGATTTAATTATATTCAATAAAAAATATTAATCAAGTCCTCTGTATTGAATGCTTAAATAGGGGGAAAATATTTTCAATTTAATAAAGTTATATTGAATTGAATTGATGTTTCTTTTTTAAGTTTTCTCATAAAGTGTTTGGAATGTCTTGTTCTTAGTCATACAATGCAACAATAGTAACAAGAGTGCTGATATCTACTTTTTATCTCTAAATAGTATCTCAATGTATCTCGTGCACGGTTCAAGTTAGTCTGGACTATAAAAAGATGACGTCAATAATTGTCTATTGTAAATAATCAGTTTTCTGTTAAAAATTGCTGATAACAGTCGTACTTTCCAATACATTGTTTTTTCCTAAATTCAATTCTTAAGACAGAATTTTCAAATTTCTTATCGACCCAAATTAGGTGTGAGAAAATTCTCTACTCATTTATTATTGAATTTATGTTTTTCATTTAAATGACTGCGTATTCAATGAAATTTGAAACAAATCTTTCAGTTAAATAGAGCGGTATCTCGTACTTCGAACGCTTCTGAGTTTCAACGCTAAATTCGATACAAAAATTGCTTCGGAATTCGAACGACGCTTCAAACTTCGAACTGCGCTCGCAGTTTCAAACAATATATGAAATAAAAAGTTTAAAATAAGCTTCTAAGCAAAAAAATACAATCTCACATTATTAATTAATAATGTGTTGAATTTCATAGCTGTTATAATTAAATCTTAAATTTATGTTAAGTGAAGACAGCTGTTAATTAAAAATAAACAAAAGCTTTGCTTAATCCGTTATAACCTCTACTCCTTAACCATGGCATCTGAGAGTCGTCTCAGAAGCAAATAAGCCTAAGAAGAATGTTGTAGTATCGACAATTGAGGTGAAAAAAGGAACGTATTGTAAGGGCCCGGATTTAAGATTCGAATATTTTTATTCATTAGGCTAAAAGTTAGATTAAAAGTTAGGGTTAACTCCAAACGAGAAAAACAACCGACAAATTTTCTCATAAAAATCGCTCATAAAATTCTGTTCCCACGGGGTTACTTCCATGTAGAGGATGTGTTAACCGTTGTGTCATAATTTTGTCACTTCGCCCACTATTGGTCAAAGAAGATCATCACCTGTGACGTATGTGGGGAAATCTTGAAAACATAGCCCCATATAAAAGGCAAGTGCGATGACGACACAAGGGGGGTAGTTATTTGGTCTATCCTGTGTGTGCGTGGATTATCTGCCTCTCGTCGCCACCGTCTTCAATAGACTTGGAACTTTGACTGAGTTACGAACTTGGAAGGACGGACCTCGGGTCTACCTGTTATCAACGTTATAATGACATAACTAGAGGTATTCATTCTACGCGCGAGGATTTGTAAGCTCTCTCTCGAATATTCCAACTCGCGGTTAGGGTCGCGACTAATATAGATTTTGTCCGCTATTTTATGAACTATACGGATTGAGCCCCCAAGAGGGATTTGTATCCTCGACTCTTTCAATAATTAACTATGTAAAGATGTATAATAATAAACGAGTATATTGTTAATGAAATTAGATTGGTGTGCGTTTCTTCCGACATTATTCACTCCATACTGAACCTAAAGTCCTCGACGCGATCGATCGTAATAATTCCTCCCTCATTTAACCGCGTATCTATCCGCAACGGAAATGATAGATTGGTGTCAGATCCTGACGTAAACTAAGGAACTCACGATCCTTACGAACCCCTTCCGCTCAAAGAAACCCATCCTTTAGACAAGCTAGACCGGACCTCAAGGTCTTCAGTCAAGTAAGAGGTAGGAGAGTCAAGAACTCGTAAACATCCTACCCCCGATTAGTCTCACAGTATCATGAAGTATGAAAGCGGTACACTTATAGCGGATCTACCGGATGTGTTTAAGATTTTGAAGTCGACGATGTTCGCTCAGTAAATACAATTTTAATTTTATTTTACAGTATTTTATTTATTGTTTTCGTGTTTTAATTTATTATTAGGAAATTTAATTGTGTTATTTTCATCTTAAATTGTATGTATTTGCTATTTTAGTTTAACGAAATAGGTATTGTTTAGGATCTGGAGATGGATTAATTCACTTTCCGTTATTTCTAATGGAAAAAAATTGATTGGAGTTTTGAATGATTCGGAGTTCGAACGGCAATCTGAAATAAATTAAATTCGAAGTACGAGGTACCACTACATTAAACAGAAAACAATACCAAGTAGCCAATATTATAAATCCTTATAGGCGTGAAATATTTTAAAATCTTACGTTTTATATTATTTATAGGCCTAACTGATAATTTTATATGTCTAATATTTAATAATCAGATCAGAATTACAATATCTAAAGTTATTATATGTTTTTTTACATACAATTATATTTTCGTTATTCTTTGATTGTAAGAAAATTTTTAACGTATTTATATTATAGATTTCTACATGGTTTATCGCTTAAAGTTGTGGCAGGACGATATGATATGACGAGTGCCAGATAAATGAAAACCGAAAACAGATTTGGAAAGTTTAAGGCAGGAGGCTCCAATTAACTATATACGAACTTCCAAAGAAAACTGGAAGTCACGTTATTTCAATTCAAAAATTTCCTCCCGAAAGGAGTTAGATAGATGACCTAACACGACTCGATTGCTAACAGGAAAAGTATGATGTAAGGATCAAGAAACTTCTAATTTGAGATGGAGAGCATATATTTTAAATTAAATAAGTTAAAAATATGATTAAAAATTGCAGCCCGGCATTGTGACGTTATTACAATAAATATTTGCTCGCTATATAAAAAACTTTTTGTGTTATTAATTTTTATAAAATGGCAAAAGCTTAATTTTGAGAATATGATAAGTTTTATAAAAAATAAAATAAAAAAAATATAAAAAATTGCAAACGCTAATAACCAGTAAAATTTTCATTAAGTCTGACTTCTCTTCAGATATGACACATGATTCCCTTTATCTCCACACTCCCTCAACCTTTAATTACTAATATTTAATAGCTTCAATCTCTCTTATACATAAGCTGTCATGCCAAATTTTGTTTCTAACTATTATCTCTTATTGAGATATTAAAACGGAATAGACTCCAACAAACACACCCCCCACCCACACACACACAAACATGTCTACGGAATTTTACTGTCTCTCTCTCTTTTTGGGGTTTGGTGGTCTCAAAGTGGAGATTTGCAAAGAAAAAACGAAAATACAGGAGAGTGAAATTTGGCACGATTACAATACTTTCCCTTGTAATGTCTGCACAACAGCCGTGTGGGATCTTGGGACCGTCAAAAGTCGAGTTCCAGGAGTTTAAGGTAGGATCCTGACACCATGTGTTATCGGACATACTACCGATTTAGACTCTAGAAAAGTCAGATATGTAAGACGTAAAGGTAAGAGTCACTCCAAAGTCCAGGAATGAACCTCTCAGGAGGATGAATGCAAAATTAATTAAACCGACTCAAGAATAAAAAGGAAAATTTATTACGAAAAAAATCTAAATATTACATTAAAATTAAGTTTTTAATTAATATTAAATACAAAGTCTGTCCTCGGAAGTTAGCCTATATTAGTAAAACGAGTGATACCTAACGAGGAATATTCGAAACATCGTGACTTACACCATACCAGAAAAGAATTGTCTTCTCTTCAAAGACCTTCTTTATCCTTTTCTTTCGTTATCTCTTTTTGATAACTATTTCTTCCAGATTTAATACTCTCCTCGGATTCGTCTTTCTACTATTGTGTTGGCCTTCTTTTCTCAGAGTTGACTCTCTTACTGGATGCTGTGTTCACTCTCCTCTCCTCTCTCCTTTTCTTTCACTTTCTCTCACTTACTGCTTTCTCTTCCTCTCTCCTTTTCTTTCAATTTCTCTCTCTTTCTGCGTGATTTTCATCATTTCCTTTTGTTTTATTTTTTTCTGACCAATTATGATTTTATTCCGGGGAAAGTTGAGGTAATGAAGGACAAGCATGATTGGTTATTTTTTAGTTCTCTTTCTCCCTTGTCTATTATGAATTATATGTGTACACGTATAAAGTAACATCTGTCACCTAACGCTATTGAAAAGGGGGAAACGACGGTCATTTTTTTCGTCTTTTCCTTCGAAAGTTGTGAAATTTATAACAATTAATTGATAATTTTTTATTCTAATTTCTTTCTCTTAATTATTTTTAATCGGTATTTCTAAAAATTTAGAAGGTCGTTCCTAAAATCGGAAAAATAGATGAAATTTCCTTTACAATATTGCTTGATAAACATAAATAATCCCTTTGTCGTATTCACACAAACATCTTCGAGATGTGGGTGCAAAGAACGTCTTGTCTGATAGCTAACAATTGTTTGATGAACAACCAGACAAACAAAAGTTATAAAATACATATATAGTTTAAAGTACAATAAAATTTTCAATTTATTATTTAAAGAAAATACATTGTTAGCTTAACATTAAAATAAGTTTATTAAAATTAAATTTATAAAGATAATGTTAAAATTTCGAGAAAATTGTGGGCCTCCCATCCGGAAAAGTAACACACTATGGAAGAGAATTGAATGGTTTGTATACGATATTTTTCAAATTTTCATCTTGAAGAACTATTTTTGTTAAGATGTCTAAAATATGGCGTGTATTAAACCAGCCTGAAGACTCTGGGAGAACTCAAATCTTATACTGAGAGCTAGATCTTTTCTATCTAAAGAGACATACTTCGAAGTGTAATGTTATATTTTCAGGTAGACATATTGAATATATTGAACTTTTTCTGTTTTTCATTCTTTCCTCCCTAAGAGCACGAAGAGAACCATTGTTTCTTGTCCATTATTAGTTCGGCAAGTCTCACAAAGAATAGTTACTCAGGGAGTCAGTCGCCCGAAAAGGTAACAGGAGCCTGAAACAAAATACATATTGGGAGCTGTATAACAAATTAAATTATTATATTAAAGAATAGGAAGTAAATGGGAATACATCGTATAGGATCTTACTTCCTTAGTATCCAAGCTAATTTGCTTCTTTTGCTTTTTTTTGCAGTTTCCACATTCGAGAGAGATCGTCTATGAAAGATTCCTAGAGTTCGTTGTCCGAATTCGATGTCAACAGCACCAGGATGATATCTTTAAAGCTTCGATCATCCAGCCGTCGAACACATTGCATTATAAATTACCTCAAATGCCGATTTAAAAGATAATTAAGTATGAATTGTATGCCTCGTTCTTCAGCTGTAACGAAGAATTAAACTTACAGACGTAATTTCATAAAAAGTCTTTATAACTTCTATGATATTTTAAAATTTAAATATACGATAATAAAAAGCTATTGAAATTAGCTTATAATATTGAATCTTTGTAAAAACTACAAAATACATAAATTACTTTTCAATTCTTAAACTGATTAAATGAATGTAAGCAAAACTTTAATTTTTTTAGCTTTCTTATCAGTAAATTAAATTTAAAAATTATTGAAATAAAATATTTTATTGTTTATGATTAAAATGCATTTAAGGTGATTATGAACATAGATTCAATGTATTGAACTCGTGATTCTTATCTGAAAGAGCAAGATTATTAATCACGAGTTTCCGAAGTAACAAGTGGAATTAACATGTGACACACCAAATTATCTGTCATATGAATAACCATTGAAAATGAATAAAAATATCAACTTAATAATTATAAAATATTTGGATCATATTTTATATTATTGTGTATGAATGTATATTTATTTATTTACAAATGTGTGTAAATGCGTGTTTAAAAATTTATATAATGTATTTGGATTAGCAAACATTTTTAAGCTGATCGTATAATGATAAAAATTTCACATAGTTAATTTGCATTGTAGTTTGAAGATTACTACTCGTATTTTATATTTAAGAATTATGATTTTGTGCAAGCCAAGATAACACACTTTACGTTTCAAATAAAAATTAGAATTTATTTGCTGATTTATCACTTTTCAATAGGATAAAACTAATTGTAAAATCGAAAACAAAATTTTAATTAATTCAAATAAAAGAATAAATAAATATCCTATTCTCACTCAGATTCTTTAACAATATACAGTCAACATACCTTAATACCGAGAACGCACACTAAATAATAATATCATTTTTTAAACCAATTAACGAATCATCAAGAAACATTGAAAATTTAACCTTAATGCTTACAAACTATTTTGCTTTTGGGGTGCTTTGAACAGATAGACATTATGCGCCTTTAGTATTGTAATTTCAACAAAAATTCTTATTTATCAATTTTAGAATAAGACATTTTATAAAATTCCTTTTACAAATAAAGTACATTCTTATCTACAAAACTGATAACTGGATATTATTTACTAGTTGTTATCTTACAAAAGATCATTATCTAAAAGTATATAAATGTAGCATCAATTGTTGAATTCTAAACCGAACGGTTTGTGCTGAATTGTTTCCACTAATATTAAACATAAGGTAAGTACAGTCGTACTCCCTATAAATAACACTGTTGATTATTTCGTTTTATATGAATTCCATGTTGTATGAATCACTTGGATTCTACAAATACGTAAGCCTTTCACAGCCCGGCATATGTATTTGTAAAATCTAAGTAACTTGTACAACATGAAATTCATATAAAACGAAATAATCAATAGTGTTATGGGGGGAAGCGACTGTAGCCTATATTAAAATTTATTTGTAAATATACCACGTTAGTTTAAGCATTTTTTTTTTCTTTTCCTACTATATTTTTACTCCGGCATAAACGAATACAATATAAAATTATTCCTATATCTCTACAAAATATTAAATATTGAGTTGGGGAAAAAGAAATCCATTATTTTTACGTTTATTTCAAGACTTTATTTAACATGGTTTGGATTGTCCGACTTGGGTCAAATATGCACTGTTTTGTTTTATAATTTGTTGCCATTTTAAAGGTAATTTCATAATGCCTCTCTCATAGAAGTCCTGGTCCCTATTGGTAAAAAACTCAACTAAGTAATTTTCACAATCTTCTATTGATGTCAATTTCTATTGATGTCCTTAGTGATACCTTATCACTAAGGAAGTTTTGCAACGATAAAAAAAGATGGTACAGTAGAGCGTCGTTTATCCGAATCAATTGGGGACTGGAGTTGTTCGGATAACTTATTTTTCTGATAACCGATTATGTGCGAAAAAATATATTAACTTATCCCATGTTGAAATTTTTCTCCGTTGCGTGTCGCTTCGCGTTGAATTTTCGTCGATGTTAAGCCTAACGTAAACTTTTTTAAAATAATAATCTTGGTTATTGTATCGTTAAAAATGATTTCTTTATGTTTTACAAACGAAATAAATACATTGAAAAATATAAAAACAAATAAAAATTATACTTTAGGCTGACTGGAATTCTTTCGAATAACCGACTTTTCGGATAAACGACGCTCTACTGTATTTGCTTGGTGCCAGGTCCAGACTATAAGGTGGATGCATCAAAACTTTTTAACCAAGCTCCCTGAGTTTCTGAGTCACTATAGATGTGTGTGGCCTGGCATTGTCCTGATGAAACACAACACCTCTCCTGTTGGCCAATTCTGGTCAATCGCTAGCTTCAAATGGTCCAATTGTTGTCAGTAGAGGTCCAAATTTAGTATTTGGCCATATGGAAGCAGCTCATAGTAGATGATTCCTTTCCAGTCCCACTAAATGCACAGCAAAATCTTCCTGGGCGTTAATCCTGGTTTGACCACCATTTGAGCTGCTTCACCGCACTTTGACCATGATTGGTTTTGCACAATATTGTTGTATGTAACCCATTTCTCATTCCCAGTCGTCATCCATTTAAGAAATTGGTCGATTTAATTCTGTTTGGCCAAGACTTTGCAGATGGAAATTCGATCCATCGTGTTTTTTGCGTCAATTCATGTGGCACACAAACATGATCTTCTTTCTGAATCCAGCTTTATGCAGATGGTTTAAAACTGTTTTGTGGTCAATCTTTAGCTCCTGGGCGATACTATGACTGCTAACATGCCTGTCTACTTCAATCGTTTCCATGATTTTATCGACATTTTCGACAATGGACTTACCTGTGTGAGGTGCATCTTTAACATTGAAATTACCAGAACGGAATCGACGAAACCAAAATTGCGCATAATCGGCTGTGACAGTATTGAGACCATAAACACCATTCACAATTTCAGCTTCATGGCTTGCATTTTCGCCTTTATCGAAGCAAAATTGTAAAACATAATTTCTCTTTGTTAACTTCCATCTTTTATACCCTATAACTCACAACTGAATTGACCAATCAAAAATCTGTAAATGAATTTTTTTTTAGTATGGAATGTCACTTTTCTAACGAGCACAAGTCTGAACTTGTTTCATCAATACTTTACAAGATATATATCACTAAAGCCATCTAGCAACAAAATAATGGATTTTTCCCCAACCTAAATATTAGTTAGATCGTAATAAATAACTATAATAATACTTATAAATCTTCCAATAACAATATAGTGTGTAGTCAAACGAATAACATATTAATTCTGTTATTTTCTATTTTATTGGTGCAAGACTCAATTAACAAAACTTACAATACATTCTATTACAAAATTGATTCTATGTTGTCAAAGTGTGCTTTTCGAACGGATTGGCCTTCGTTCGTTACTCCTTACAAAAAAGCTATCTCTGAAAATTCTTTTCAATCTCGTGGCATTTTGCCGACTAAATAAAAACCTGTGCAGCAATTATAATTAAAAACCTAATTTCAATCAGTTATAATAATAAATTGCATAAATTTATGCAATTTATTATTATAACTGATGCAAATATACAGCTAAATTTATACAATGATATTCAATATAATAAAACCAGTCGTACATTATCATTTAAAAAGCAGAAATAACTTTTCTCTTTTATGGTTCAGCACAATGTTTTCAAACATTTTCTAACAGTTGCACCCTCAACTTGGTAAGTTTTTCTTGGGACACTCTTATTTTTATATATGTTGCAGTCAAAACCCATTTTTAGTTTGAACGCGTTTTAACTAGATGAAACTAGTTTATACTAGATGTCTTCGAAACTAGTTTTAACTCAAATTCATTTTTGACTAACAGTAAATTCTAGTTTTAACTAGACAAAACGGGTTTTATCAAAGACATTTAGTATAAACTAGTTTTAACTAGTTAAAACGCATCCTAACTAAAAACTAGTTTTAACTAGTTAAAACGCATCCTAACTAAAAACTGGCTTTGACTGCAACATATAGAGTGATTCGGGGGTAAGATGCCTAATTTTTGATATTTTCAAACGGTGACGTCGCATATTGTCATGTATTTCTATGATGAATCGTTGGGCCAATATTGAGTGAGGAAAGCTGTAGTTGGCTACCGTTACTTCATTTTCTGTATCTGGGAAGAATAAAAGCTAGATAAGAACGAAGTTTTTGTTGTAAAATGTTTCTAGAGTAATTATAAACTAAAAGTTAAAATAGAGTTTATTAAAAATTGAGAAAAACAATTAATGTATGATGTAGTTAAGGTTCTAAAGTTTCCATTGTCAGCTACTGCCGATCCCTATCGGACATGCTGGAGCACGTGACTCTACTAGGCATCTTACCCCAACAAAATCCCAAAAGATGCCACATTTTTCTTGGGGTAACATGCCTATTTTTTGTTAATTGAATTCCAATATGCCTATTTTTAATAAATTTTTGTTTTACTCGTTTTATTGCAGGATATGCATAGAAGTTATATAAGGACTTCTCAAAAAGGTTTTTGGACTGAAAAAAGCTTTCAGCTAGCTATAGAACACGTTAGAACGGGCGCAAACTTAACAATACTTATACTGTGCCGTTATACTTCCTATGAAGTACTTTGTACTACATATGCAATAAATTAAATTTGGTTA